CCTGACGGCCAAAACAGGCAGCAAAATCTCGGGGAGTGCCATGTGGAAGAGGAGTTCCATTACGATTGCCCATAACTAAAAACATAAACGTAAAACTATAGAAAAATACTAAAAATTGTTTTTCAATCTTTATAGCGTAAGTTTTAAAGATCGAGCAATTTCAGACGCTAATTTTCCAATAAAAAGGCGTACAAGAATTTTATAGTGTCCCAAGGTACCTGAATTTAATTGGCTTTGAAAAATCGGCAAATTTTCTTTTTTTCAACAGGTTTGAACCATTTTCATCGTTGTCAAGTTCGCTTTTGGCTCATGGGGGCTCCTTTCCCCCATGGCGGCCCCGCGGCCTGCCACCCCTCTTGAGCCCCTCCCCGAGGCTCCTCACCCGTGTCCTCGGTAGTATAGTGGTGAGTATCCGCGTCTGTCACATGCGAGACCCGGGTTCAATTCCCGGCCGGGGAGAAACCTTTTGCTTTTTGCCTCCAAAGCCTGGATGCTCCTTTCTAACCTATAGGTTCAGCCTTTACGTTCAAAAATTACCTGATACCATGCCAGATGCCATCGATATGCGGTAGCCTTTTCAGATGGGTTTCGAATTATCAAGAGAAGCATGCCAAGATTTATCGATGTTCCAACAATCAGTAGAAAATTCGAATAGGTCTTTAAAATCGAGGGCTCCTCGTAGCCAGACATTGCATTTTTCTCCAGCATGCCCAGAGTGGCCGTTTATATAAAGGATCAATCATGGCAGGTGGAAAAAGTGGTGTTTATCCTAGAAGTCCAAAACTGCGGTAATTGTTGCCTCGCGCAAAGGGTATACAATGCTTTTGGGGTCTTTTGTGACCCTGGTTCACTAATATATTCGGAAAAATATTTATCTCTCGAGATGTTGAGGGTAGCAAAGTGTAAGGGAGAAAAAGTCAATTCTGCTAAAAGGCCAATGAAGAAAAACGTTAAAAAGGAGCTATTACAATTCAGAAAAGGAAAAGCGGAAGCTTTTTTCCTGAAATGTCCTTAAAAGGAAAATTCGAAGTTCCGAAAATGCAGAGATTCTTATATGATTCTGTAGATGTAGTTGTGTTTACAAATGCGTTTATTTATCGAAATATCGGACTATATATTATAAAACCTATCAAGACTTAATCTCCGTAGTCCTTCGAAGGGCCTTGCATTGTTGGCGCGAGTGTCGGTGGTGCGGGAGTTGTTCTCTCGTTCTCAACAGAGTTCAACAGCGCAATCACCGGCTTCACACACTCAGCAGGCATTCTCCCGTTGACTTGCGTGAGTAACTAGACATCCATTAACTCAAATGACATCAAATATCCATTATGTTACCATATAGCGACACATAGCTCGAAAATTACCGTAACCTGCATCCGCTTTGCCATGTATATCCGCTCCTGCTCGCTGTGGCAGAACTTGGCTATGTTTAGCACCGTGCACTTCATCATCTCGGCGAGGGCGCTGGGAATTTGGGTTAATAGGTTATAAGCCGTTAGCAGAAGCCGAAGCCCAAAGCTAAGCGTAGCCTAGCCTAGGATATTCCGAAAACTAAGCCTGAGCCTAATCCCAAGACTAACTAGTAAGTGTAATCCTAAGCCTAAGCCTAAGTCTAATCCATTCCTGAGCTTAAGCCCAAGCCCAAAGCTAAGCCTGTCTAAGCCTGCCCTAGCCTGCCTAAGCTAAGCCTCAGCTAAACCTAAAGCTAAGTGGCCTAAGCCGGCCTAAGCGTAAGCCTAACAAGGAGTGCTTTTTTGAGTCATTGGCAAAACCTTACGAGGCTTAGCCCATTCGATAGAGAATTGAATTCTGAACAGAATGCCGCTGTTTATTTTTGCGGCATAGCCGTCTTTGATTTTATAAAATTAAAAACTAGGTGCCGTGTAATACCATGAGTGCCCTTCGAGCAAAACGAGACGCTTTCGGGTGCAGTTTCAAATTTTGTAAAATCAAGGATAAACAGTGGAGCCTGGTTCAGAAGTGAATTCTCTATCGAATGAGCTAGGTCTCGTAAGGTTTTGCCGATGACTCAAAAAAGCACTCCTTGTAAACCTAAAACCTGAACCTAATCCATAGCCAATCGCACAACCTGCATAACGAACTGCCGTTTGTCGGCGTGCAGCCCTCTCTCATTGCCGGTTTGTTGAAATTTGTCAGAAGGCACTTGTCGATGTTTTCGACTGAAATCGGCCCAAATCACCCTGGAATTCCACGAATTTCGGAGCCATTTAAACGTGCTAGGGTCGGGGATTTTAATGAATCGAACATTTCGTGCTAAGCGCCCACATTTCGGGTCTTCTTGCAGCCATTTGTCGCAGGCCTTCGCAAACAGGTACCTCCCCGCTTCGACTAGCGGCTTGTTGCCCAACTTATTAGCGGCAGAACCGAACAATCTAAAACAAAGCATTCTGACAGTACAGTGGACTAAAAGGGTGCACAAAGCAGGAATTGGGGGGGGGGGGGTTCTGCTTCGTTAGCGGGGGGGGTAGCGGGACACGCCCACACCCCTTTCTTTTCTGGATAGGTCAATTAGGGGCGTATTTTACCCCCCACCCGGTAATGAACCAGTACCAGGAATTGTGTCAGACATTTCTGAACACTAACTGACAGCTGACTTTCCTAAACTGTAAAAAACTTTTAAAAACTTACTTACATGCTTCCGCCGGATCTTGTTTTTCGGGAGCTATTAATGTTTTGACAAAAAACAATTTCCAAAGTTACCAATATAAGCGGCCGCCATTTCAACAAAAATCGATACAAAGAGTAGCATAGTTGGGAAAAGATAGAATTTAAAGAACTTCGAAAATTTTTGAAATATAGGTTAGATGAATGACCTATGGCGACGGATACGGCGATCAATGGATTTCGTACCGATTCTAAAATCGAGTTCAAAATTCAGTACGATTATGTACTCAGCACATTTTCCTTGGTTTGACGCGTTTCAGGGGCAACGATAGGTTTACGATTTCATAATCCATCTATAGGGTACGTACCATCTTTGATCAACGAGAAAACTTAGAAAGACTGCCAGTTTGAAACGAATTTTCGAGTTTACATTTGCACTGCACACCACACCGACGGCTTTTAGAAAGATTATGATTATCCGTTATTCTCTCTCTTTCACTCTCTCGCTCTCTCTCTCTTTCCCTCGCTCGCGCTCTCTTTCTCTCTATCTTTCTCTCTCTCTTTCTCTCTCTCTCACTCTCTCTTTCTCTCTCTCGCTCTCTCTCTCGCCCTCCCTCTCCCTTTCTCTCTCTCTCTCCCTCTTTCTCTTTCTCGTATGTGTTCTTGTATCAAAATCAATAATTTATCACAGTCAAACAATATTCATCTTCATTGAGCCGCAGCCTTTTCGAACATTGCCTGGATAGCGGGGGCACATTCCGCGATTTCTTCAGGGTGTTCCACGACGAGCCACTAAATTAGGAACATTTTTTGGTTTTGTAGGTTTGTAAATTTTGTAGGCGTGGGTTTGTTTGTTTGTAGGTTTGTCGGTTTTCTCCATGCAAGTAACAAGCCCAAAAGCTCACCCCAATCTGCATGAAGCGGGCCAGGAAGGTCATGTCGTCGGGCTGTCCGCAGACAGACAACGTGTTCTCCAACTGGCAGTGGATGGCCTGGGCAGTGTTTCTGTAAAGGGGAAAACCTCCATTACGACACAGTGATCGAATTTTTTGTATAGGTCTAGATGCCTAGTAACTTAATAGAAAGTGTTTTAATATTGTTTGTAGCAAAATATAGCTATATTAAGACAAGAAATTACATTTCGGTTAAAATTACACGTTTAGGAATAGTAAAAAATCACGAGAACCACTTCCACTAGCCCCTCTCCTCAAAGTCTGGGACTCACTCGCAGACACCCTCGTCGTCGTCAACAACCGCGGCGCAACCCTTGAGAAGACGCGGATCCTCCGGGTCCAGCTCGGCAACACAGTCTCCAAGGTCATCATCTAAAAGCCATTACCCACATTGACGCCGGCTATTTTTCGAAAATGAAAAGGGCATAATCGCACTGAAAACCCACATTTTTTGATGGTGTCACCGTCGGCGTCGCAGACGATGCCGGCTAGGATTTTGGCAACCTGGCGAACTTTTGGATCTGCGGCTTCTTCGGCGACGAGATGGTAGCCTCTGGTTTTTTGTAATTATTGTTAAACAGAAATTAAATCCGGGATTTCTAGGCAGGTATTCGCCGCGGAGAAATCTTGCGTGAATCTCCTTTCGACCGTGGTGGTAAATTTTTAACCGTAAGATTAGCCTCTTAAAGGCAGAGCGACGGCTGTGGCCATAGATTTTATTGGCTATAAATTCTCGAACCTTCAAAAATTCCACTTACTCGCAGCTCCCTCCCTCAGCCGCAGCGACCTCTGGTCCATGCCAAGCGGGCCAAGCTAGCAAAATAGGTATAAACGAGCTAAATACCATTAACTTACCAAAAACTGCCCCGACAAGAAGCCCGAAAACGACAACCGAATTCATTTTCGTGATTTGATGCCCGGCCTATCGAATTGCCCGTTTTATGCAGTCCATTATTATGGCTGCGTGTCGTCTGTCTGTGCTCGGAAAGTAGCGGAAAATCGACTAATTTGAATGCCCGAAAACGAAATGATTCAGTTCATGATTTGGCTGTCCAAAACTGCCACTTTTAGATCAAAATTGTCTTTTTCTGGAAGGTTGGAGACATAACAAGGAGCATGAAATTTTAGGGAAAATGGGAGCACAGGCTTTTCAAAGGCAGCAATTAAAGCACATTTTTCAAAACTATTAAATTCATCAAAATCCGGGTTTCTTTCCAAAAGTCGAAATTGATAGTGTCGAGAAAGATGGCACAGAATGTCGATATTTTGCTTTGTAACTAGGACACTCAAAAATCCAAAGAATTTTTTGAAAATAAAAAGGCCATTTCAGAAAAAATTGTATAGATTCGTTTAAACGCAAAAATATGCTGTAGCTAATTGAATCCGGAGAACAGAACAGAACGTTTATTCAAAACAGGAGATTCAGTTTATGATCCCGGCACCCATTGCGTCCAAAGCCTCAAGGCTGTTGTTGGTGCAGTAGTGCGGCTCGAATTTAATTTTGTCGTTGACCAAGAACTAAATTTACGATCTTTTCCCTCCACCGTTTTGACCCTACTTTCCACTGCGCCAACCGCGCCACGTATGTTTCATCTGCTCGCCCACTTCCGGCGTTGGCCGCTACGGTAACAATTCCGCACTTATAAGTATCGATTGTTTTCCTAAAAGTTGAAGTGAAGTCTTTCTGGAAAAGCTGAAACCCCGACCAAAAATTCTTATAACATTAAATAGCGACAATCAAAATTCCTACGACAAAAACTTCATTCTTTAGTCTCCCGGTATTTTGGCTTAGCGGCATTTTCAGTGTCGGCGTTTTGACTGATCCGTCTAACTAAATGGAGCTTTTTTTTACTATTTTTTTCTCCGCACATCGATGGGATAACAAAAACCGAAACGATCCACGATTATCGTATTTTCGGCCTCAGAAGAACGGACCTGAAAGCAGAGGTGGTATATGCAGTGGCATTACATGAGCAGAAAAGCATTACAGGAATAAGCGCAAAAATAGGTGCGGCTTGTGAAACAAATTTCAGTAATAACCAGGGTTGAAAAGCCGCTTCGCGTCTTTTCAACCCTGGCCCCCGTCTAGCGTCATAATATGCTTCATTTTGCATAATTCGCGCGAATTCCGATGACAAAAAATGAAAATCTCTCCCTCCGCCCATTATATAGGCTCGCGCCATTTCCGGCATATGCTAATTGATTCCTAACAAAGTGGGTGCTCCATTTTCTAACAAAAACTTGATTTTAACGTCGAAAATAGCATAATTTGCAAAATCTGATGTGTGTGCAGGCATCTCAGCGCCATTACGCACCTAATGACGGATCATACGTTGCTTAAAACCCTTTCCCTCTCGAGATATCCTCCGGACCCCCTGACGGAAGTTGCATGCAAAGTGGCACCACACACACAAACACACAGACACTATTTCAGTAGTAATATTTAACCACTTGGAAATAAAGCTTTATTCAGTCCTTTCGTCAACAAGTTAAAAAAAGCGATGATAATGAAGCTTATTGCGCGTTGCTTCCAAGGTTCTGCAAGAATTCCCAGAACGTCAGCAAACAGGGATGCGGCTCGCCAACATTGTCCAGGCTGTCGACAGCAACCTATAAAGTTAAGGTACCTATGAAGCTAAATCTGGACAGCTACACCAAATGACACTTTCAGATGGATTTTAAAATAACCAGTGACCAGAAAAAGCGATTCACACTTCTTCCGGACGCTTTAATGACCGGACTCTACCTCAAGTTGGACGAGACGCGCGATGAACGGGACATCCTTCACCCCGCATCCATAAATTTTTTGCACCGGCCGAGATGGCGCATTGGTAAAAGTCGATGTACGGTCTGGCAAGAGCTAGTGAGAGAGAACGAGAGAAAGAGAGTGAGAGAGAGCGAGAGAGAGAGAGAGAGCAACCAAACCGATACCGGCATTCCGTCGAATTTTTCGGCGCCTCAAAGCCACATGCCTTGAATAGGTCCCGGTTGTCGTTGTCGGTCCATCCGTTCCAGAGTTTCTCGTCTAAAAGAAGTTGCGTGTTGAGCGTCAGGGGCTCCTTTATTTCTCCAAATCAGGTATATGTGATTATCCCTTATTTTATGACTAGAATTTAAAACTTACCTTGGACTTTTTACTTTGCATGAGTCTAAGATAGCGTGTTTAATACTATTTCGGCATGTAAAACCAACATTTCACAATCGGGAGCAGCAGCTCCCCGTTGCAGCTGATGTTGCGTAATGTGGTGGCGACATGGTCGGTGGCCGTGCCCTCATACTCGGTCGATAGGCAGCGCAGGAATCTGCGTTTTAGGTGTACCAATAAAATAGCATAAATGACACCCTATATTGGAATAGAGTACATGTAAAGTGTCGATTTACGTCGGAAAATTTAAATTAGAAATAACAATTAAAGTCCTCACACGTTAGGCAGTTTTGAAAGTTTTGGTGTGCAAATAAAGGAAAAACCTCGTTCTCACCACGGAGAATACTAGAAAAACCTACTTGCACATCGGCAGTCCTTGTTGGCATTTTCTTGGCTCATGTTGAGCTGAAAAGGGATGTAGATATCTTTTTTCAATTTTAAAACCTTAAGCTTCCTCGAATTACTCAAGACTTTAAAACTTGGAAAATGTACCGTACACCGCTCCAACAACCAGGCAGGCCAGAACGATTCTGACGCGCATCTCCACGACGATTCAAGGATACCCTTTCGGAAAGTTCGCAGTTTTATAGGGCTGGTTATTTTGACTAGTGTCGAGCCCTTCTATTCACTAAATTCTAAGCCAGTCAGCCTATACAAATCGTGAGTTTTTTTTGTTTTATTTCGACGGCTCGGTGAATCAGGGGTGGGCTATTCAAATTGCTTTTTGGATCTTTTTAGCTATTTGATGTGAATCAGCTCGTTTTTTCTTTAGAAAGTTTATTAGCTTTTTTAATATTTGACGGGTTGGAAAAAAGGCATCAAACAATAGAATGCGATTTTATCCAAAAAATTATTTCGAAGACGACATAAAAGAAATTTGAAAAATTACCCATATTGACCCCAGCATTCATTTTTTAGTTATTCAATCCCTCCGACATTTCTTCCAGCATTTCGATCAAATAGTCTTCAAAAACTTTAGGTGCAGGCTCCTTACCGTCAAGCATTGGCAAACATGAAGGCGTTGGCAAGAGCCAGAGAGAGCGAGAGCAAGCGAGAAAAAGAGAGAGAGAGTGAGAGAGAGCGAAAGAGAGAGTGAGTGAGAGAGACCCCGGCTCACCCTTTCGACCCAAGCATGCTTTGTGAACCGCGGTCATACAACGAAAAAAAAATTATTTATTTATTTATTCTTCACGTTATCGTCTTGCGCATGGTTCCCAATTTCATTTAGGGCATTCCAGAATGCTTTCATGCAGGGCGGATGTGGCTCTTTGTCGCCGCTGGCCAAAAGCTCAGCTGCGATCTGAAATGATTTTTGATTAGGCTCGAATCAAAGTCATTAGGGCCAGAAAAAGTATAGTCGACGAAGTACCTTGAATTGAACGAGACGGGCGATGAACGGGGCATCCTTCTCGCCGGTACCAATTTTGCTAGCTACTGCCGATACAGCGCATTGGTAAGTGGCGATGACGGCGCTGAAGCATCAGATTTACGCTCTCAGTGCAACTTTTGAATCCAGCTTCAAGGTGTAAACTACATACGGGCAATCGGCCGGGTCGTTCGGCGCCCCAGCTGTGCAACTTCCGAGTTCGCCCTCCAGATCTTGTTCTCCCCAAGCGCTCCAAATTTTCTCGTCTGAAGAGGATAAAAAGTAAAAAAGATCTACAGGGTGTCCCAAAAAAGCACCCCTCCGGCATTTCGCCGCATTACATCCCAACAGTCCCAAAATTGCAATGGAGGTGTATCAGACCCTAAATAACCACAATCCTGAGTTTTAACCCGATAGCTACAGTAGTTTTCGAGTTATCGTCAAAATACTGTTTTTTTACGCGGTTCTTAATAGTTTTTTCGGCTATCTTTTTTGACTTTGCATCGATTTGCATCGACTTCCGGCTGCGAATCCCTAATTTCGTTTAATATTGGGGGTGACTTTGGGTTACAAAAATTGTTGAAATCAACGGTTATTTCACTAATTTTTATCAGAAAAAATCTCTAGGGGGTAAAGCAGGCTTGCCGCTTCATTTTCACTTAATATTCGAAGGGTCGATTTCGACGAAAACCATATGAAAAACGGATAATAAAGTTTATTTTTGTTGTATCTCGAAGATTACTGTAGCTGGCGGGCTATAAGTCAGGATTGTGGTTATTTAGGGTCTGATACACCTCTGGTCCAAATTTCGGACCGATCGGATGTAATACGGCGAAATGCCGGAGGGGTGCTTTTTTTATGGGACACCCTGTATGTTAAATTTTTCTAACAGTTAATGCGTCTACCCACATCTCACTATTGGCAACAGAAATTTTCCATTGCAGCTGACGTTGCGGAGAATTGTGGCGATGCGATCGCCTTCGGTGTTTGGATACGTGGTTGATACACAGGAGAAGTATCTAATCCCAAAAACAATAAAATCTGTTCGTCGTCATTAAATTTTATAGTCTCAGTTTGTAAACGTAATGATTACAGCGCCCAAAACTTACTTGCACATCGGCACCACTTTGTCGCATTTCGCCGGGGTGGGATCGGCTGGAAAATGACATAACACGGTTAAGGAATTTATGAAAATTTTACAGGCTATAGATTTACGTTGGACTTTTCAACGCCGCGACGCGCAACCCGCAAGCCTTTGTGTCGCGCAATAAGAACCGTCCCTGAAAGCTTCCATGTAGCGTGCGCGTTGCGTGTCGCGGTCCCGCTAAATGCCGAATTACTTGCGTCAAAGTTTATTAAGGCCTGTACAAATGTATCGCCGCACCGTAAGAACCGGCAAATACCACAAACGCGAGAGCTATTTTTAGTCCCATTTCGAGGAGACCAACGATACCTTATCCAAGGTCGACGGTTTCATGGGAACCACGACTTCGTCTAGGTGTATCGCGTGTTATTCACCCAATTGTATCCCCACCCGCCCGGACATTTTGGCGTATTTTTTCGCCTGATTTGTATAATGGCAGTATCTTTGTCAGCGACGCGCTTTTCACCATCTTCCCCCAAGTCTTTTCATCTCGATTTCGAACCTCGAAAACTCGATTTGAAACTATTTTTGTTTAGGCTGTTAATTGCAGGGCCACGCTGCTCCGTCATTTCGAAAACGTACAGGCCTTCTAGCGCTAAAGCTAAAATTTTTCCATCGTTTCCCCTTATTTTTTCAACAGTACAGATAACTTTGCTCGTTCCGGACCTTCCTGCACTCGTCGGTTGGATTTATGCTCGGTTATAATGAACAAATTTCACATATTACGTTCCCACTGCCAAGGGCCCGATCGTAAATGGCAAGATTTGCGTGAGAAACTGCGTGCGGGACCATTAAACGAGGACTTATTTTAAACGCAGAAATCAGAATGCAGCTTAAGCAAGAAAAAGGGAAAATCTACTGTATTACAGGAGAGAACGAGTAGGTGAGAACCACTGCTAATTGCCCAGAAAAAACATGTAAGAAATATTTGAAAGCGCGAGACATCGATCAGGATTGACCTTGAAGGTCGTCCTCAATAATCCCTGCTCGCTACCCAGAATCTGTAAAATATCAAGAGGTCAATAAAAACATTTTAGTGTTCAAATTTATCGATCGGAAACGTGGCCCTTGTAGAGGATTTCCGGTTTTTGGCCACATGAGAGCAAGTCCGTACTGATGTCGAGTTGTGCTCTTGCTTCGGCGTGCGCAGAAAAATGATCGTTAAAATTCTAAAAATCCCATCTCAAAATTTTTGCATTATAACTCACGAGGTATACGGAAAATTCAGAAAAAGCCCGATCTGCAGCACGGCCATATTGGCGATAAATCTTATTTTAGGGCCCAGAAATATTCGCAGCGCGATTGGGACCGTTTCGGCAGCGCGGAGCACGAAAAAATAGGCGGCGGATGAGAAGACGAGCTGAAAACTTCAAAAAATCCCAAAAAAGGTATCCGGCCTACCATTAGTGCCAGTGGCATCTTGGAGCTGGCTTGGGCTGGTGATCTTGCAATGTGCTAAAATTAGAAATATATTCTATTTTACTTTCAACGAGATCGTCGCTAAAACACTGTCCGATTCCATTTAAAAAGATCCTTACCGAACACATTTGCACTAGAAATCACCTGTTTTAATTTCCGATACGCAGCGATATCAATCGCCGCGGTATTCGCAATCAAAATAGCATCCAAATACCCTAGCCACTCGGTGTAGTTTGTAGCCTTGAATTCCGCGCCGAGTCGTAGCAATAGTGCAATGGTATACGGTAGTAGTAGCTGCAAATATGGCAGCTTGACGCTCATATGGAAATATCGACCATCAAAGGCGAGGGCGAGGAAACGGCTGAAATTCGGTGTTTTTTGGGATTAAGGGGATTCAAGGCATGGCTATGGATTTGCTGATCGCAACGCGCGCGCACGCCGTTTCATTGCGTTGACGATTCACGCCTTTCGCGTCGAGTCTTGCGGCCGCGCAAACTCCTTAAGGGATCCATAGCCTTCAAGTCATAGATGAAGAAACGTTAAGAAACTCTGAACATGCAAAATCCATTGCAAAGTGACTTCGCGATCCCTTCAGAACGCGAAAGCTTACCCAAAAGATACAAAGTACTGCGCTATCCGAATCCCCGCCGAGAGAGCCCGCATATTTACGGACATCGAGAAGCCGAAGTAGACCATTGCCTGCGCCATCTCGAGCAGCCATTCAACACCCGCGGGGTTACGGTAGGTATATTCGGTCACACTTCTAGATTTTGAACTTTACAAGGTTAGAGTGCAGTTTACCCCCTCTCCCCCAGCCGGCACCTAACTTTTGTATCTCAGCTCCCTGTTCATCTACAGGTGTGTATAGTATGCCAAAATGTTCGTCTTGCTTTGGCGAGTATTTTGGTATACTTTACACACCTGTAGATGAACAGTGAGCCGAGATACGGTAGGTGGGTGCCGGCTGGGGGGCGGGTAAACTGCACTTAAGCCCTTTAAAAAGCATATTAGGCTTGGGTTTAGGCATGGGCTTAGGCTTCGGACTAGGGTTGTTATATGACTTGAGTCGGCACCGACTTGCGTCCAAAAATTATGAATCGGAAGGGGCGGATTGAAATGTTAACGATTCAATTTGCAAACGACTGGAGTCGACTGATGAACTGAATCGTATGCCTTTAAAACCGGACTGCGATTTAAAATCGGCGCGATTCAAAACGCCACCAGACGCGAGTCGCCAAACGATTTGAGTCGGAAGGGAAATCAGTCGGATGGAACGACTTGAAATCGCGACGACGCAAGTCGGCTACGACTCAAGTCGTTAGCGTCTTCACGTCGTCGGAAGTGAATTTATGCAAATATATGCTCATGGAAATGATTTTGTTCGACCAACTATATTCTTGTCTGAGCAGAGAGATACAGATTAGATTGGCCTTAGGCTTATGAAAAACTAAGCTCAAACCCACAAGCCGATCCAGAAAATCGACTCGACGAGACAGGCGACTCCCCTAGAAGCCGCGACGGAAGCGAGGAGAAGCCTAGGAACCTATCTTATAATTGCACTCGCACACACCGAACTGGCAATACGATCTTTTTATTGGCCAAGGAATAATAG